CCCAAACCACACCCACTGCCTGGAGTCCATTCTGACCCACAGCATCCCTAGAGGACAGAGTGGAACTGCCCACAGGGTCTCCAAGGCTGTCAATCTTCACGGAAGCAAAGCCCAAACCACACCCACTGCCTGGAGTCCATTCTGAACCACAGCGCCCCTAGAGGACAGAGTGGAACTGCCCACAGGGTCTCCTAGGCTGTTGATCTTCATGGAAGTTGACCACCACATCTTTCATCTGCGGGGCTCCTTTAGCATTCACCACAGCAGTCCTTGTAAAAAGACACGATGGCATAGTGAGTATTTCCTGAATGCCTGCTCTATGTCAAGGTCTGGGAGTGCAAAGGGCTAACACGGAGACTCGACTCCACCCAAAGGAGCCTCAGAGGAAGGCCGGGCGAGCCACTTCCCCAAACAATGAGCTCGAGAACGGCACGGAGCGCAGCTCTGCTCCGACACGTGTGGAGTCACCGTGAGTAGGAGTCAATGACACCCACAGGCTGATCACTGTGTCGGGCACTGCATTACCCCCTGAAGGAGCTCTGGTGGCAAACTGGGTAGGACACTTGGCTGCTATCCACAAGGTCAGTGGTTCAAACCCACCAGCTGTTCCACGGAGGATGATGAGGTAATCTACTTCTGTAAAGGTTTACAGCCTTGGAAACCCAATGCGTCTAGTTTGGTACCACTGTCCTTCACTCCTGTGTGCTTGTCCGAGTCTTCCTTCGCTTTGGTCACATTGCACTGACCTCCCCCACACTGTGTACTAACTTTTCCTCCACCAGGACTGACACGTGTCTACCATCCGGCGAGCATGTAATCCCTCCTCCAGGTCTGACACGTGTCTACCATCCGCTGAGTGTGTGACCCCTCCTCCAGGAGTGACATGTGTCTGCCATCAGCATGTAGCCCCATCTTGTAGCAAAAAGAACACAATGCAGTTTTGACCCACCAGCATCTTGCTCTGTTAGGGACTGCAGTGGGCAGAAGACAAGACCGTCCTCCATGAAGCAGTGGGACCAACTGCTTGTTCTACACAGCCCCATGGGACCGTGTCTCTTTGTCGGACTTGCAGAATCACTCACTTCAGTTCATTCAGCTGTTACTCTCTGGAGACGAGCTGAGTGTCCTCTGTGATGATGACACACTGGCTATCCGAGGAGGAGGTTCGAGAAAGCACCTCCAGGGAGCAAGCTGGGACTCACTCCTTCCTCCCCCGCCCCCCAGGTCTGCATGAGCCACAGGTGGCCACAAACTGGCCCTGTCTCAAAGTTGAGCCTCAACCTGGACATTGTGGACCTAAAGTCCATGAACCCACAACAGCCCACGTGTGTGCACAGTGGCCTTGCCTGGAGAGGGTCGTTAGCTTTCACTGCGGGGTAGAAAGGTTATATAAGCCCCCAGAAGCTTAATGCTGCCTTTTCAGAACTCGAAATACAGCAGTTACAGAATTTTAAAAAAACTCACTGCTGTCAAGTTGATTTGATTCATAGTGACCCCTCCTTGGGTTTCCAAGGCGGTAGCTCTATGAAAGCAGGAGTGGCTGGTGGGTTTGAACCACCAGCCTTGTGGTTAGCAGTCAAATGCCTTAGGCACTATGCCACCAGCTCCCAGTTACAGAATTAGGACATGGCAATCTCATAAGCCCAAATTTTTACTTTTTAAAAGTTCAAATAATGTTTAAAGGGGCACTTACAATTTATGGATTCTTTCAAATAACTATTGGTTTCATTATCCGGAGCACTTGTTTCTGTATTTTCTCTTATGAAGTTCTGTAAGATGTTAGCTTCTGGTGTATCTTAAAGTAAAAACGATTAAGTAAAAATCAAGTGAGCTAGCTCCTAGGGACAACCTGCTAGGCCCCTCCCCCTGCCCCCCTCCAACCTCAGCAGCCTACCAGGCCCCGCCCACCTGCTCCCACATCTTCAATGTCTGCGCCTCTCCCCACATTCTGCTGCCTCCAGCCCACAGGCCTCATCACTCCTCACGCAGGCAGGTGCCCTCCAGCCCCAGGGCTCTTTCCAGAGGGAGGCCCCCCCTCACCTGCTCACCTTCTCTGCTCGATGCTACCTTCCCAGGGAGGCCTGCCTGACACCATACTGACAACTGCAACCTGCTTACACACACCTGCACTCCAGACCCCCCAACCCTCCCCAGCCATTATTCTCCAATACCCCAAGACCACACGTGACATCCTGCCTGATGTCTGTCTCTCCCCTGCTGGCAGGCAAGCTCCCTGAGGGCTCTGTGCTGGGCCTGCTGGGGCCTGTGAGCTCCGGAGCGGCCAGCTGCCAAGCACATCCATGCGCCCACACTGCTGACCAAGGAGCCGACACAATGCAGTTCCAGCAACACCTCATCAGCTGGCCCTCGCCATCACAAAAATTCCACCCTTCAGAAACGCCAAAAGTGGTCCAGACCATGAAGGTGCCTCATGGCTCCCAGTCACGGAGTACAGAGAGCTTCTTTTAAAGCACGGCCTCTCTGTTTGGGTCTTCCTGACACGGCCGAGGACTGGGCCATTCCTGGAGTCCCAGGGGCACTAACTGAACAGTTGATGGTTCTAACCCGCCCAGAGGCACCTTGGAAGACAAGCCTCACAATCTGATTCTGAAGGTCACGGTCTCAAAACCCCACGGGGCAGCTCTGTTCTGTCCCACAGGGTCCTGACGAGTCGGTGTGGACTCGACGGAAGCACCATTCCATTCTGGTCATTCTGACTCTCCTGCAGCTCCGGCTGGACTGGCCATCATGTCTGTCCGATTACACACTCAGAATGCTCTAAGACAATGGCCCCTGGGCCCCCATGTCTTGCTCCCCTGATTTCATGCTGGGGTAAACTGTTCCCCTTCTAACAGGGGACTGTCTGGGCCTGATGCCTCTGAGGCTCAGGACAGTCCCGCTGTGGCACAAGCATCAGACCCCAGGGACAGATGGCTCCAGGAAGCCTCCTGGGCATTTTCTGAATAACTGTGACCTAAGGAACCATGTCTGTGTCCTCAGTGCTCCAGGTGAGTGTTAAGGAACTGAGTTCATTTTATAAATAGGCAGTAACAGCAGTTATCCAGTCATTAAACTCTGATGTCTCAAAATGCGCAACAACAGATGACACCTTAGGAGTGAGTGTGGCTCCTGACACCCGTTAGTAGAGGCTCACCCTACGTTAACAGAGGGCACCTAAGCAGCTCCCCACCTTTCACTACAATTAAACCCAAACTGCACGTCCTCTTTAAAGACACTACATAAGCACTGAAACTTTGGAAAAGGTCACTTCCAAGGGATGAAGAGTGGCCCAAAGTCCTTACCTGGATTGGTCGTAATGATGGTCTTAGAGATTACGGTTGCCGTCATGCAGTTCCGGAATCTGTCAAAACCGATTCTGACGTCTGAGGCAAATATCACTGTTTGGGCGGAAGAGCTGTGTTAGAACTACCGCATGGGGGATAAGACATGACAGATGGTGGGCAAAGTCACTGGTGTCTGATACCTGTTTCTCGGGGCACCCAGCTCTGCGCGAGGAGAATAGACTCGTTATCCCAGCTGGATTTTTAAAAAGAAATAATAAAAACAGAGTATATGAGAGAGACCCGGCAGGGCACTATCTACCAGAAACGGTCCCTCGGTGGCTAACAGCTGCCACACAAAGATACCGCAAGGCTGTCTGCCTGCAGGCTTGGGCCCTACTCCGAGGACTGAGCGCCTAAGCGGGTCCACAGTCAGTCCTGTCTCCCAGCCTCAGGCCAGAGCTGAGTGATGAGGAGCTGCTCGTTCGGGCCACTGAGATCAAGTCCCCACAAGGGATAACCTGCTTAGATCACCTGAGGGACCAGGGCCCTTTTCAAACGAAGTGCCTCCCGCGGAACCCAACACGTGGAGTCTACCATGACACTGTGTCGCACCCACCAGTGCTTCAGAGTGCAGCCACTGCCTGCC